AGAAGCAACATTTTTTAAACTTTACGGAATCCTTACACGAATAGCCAATTACATCCTCAACTGCAAATGAATCCAAAATGTTCTTCTCGGTCGACATCAACATAAATGTTTCAAGCTTGTCGTTACATAATGAGGAACGCAGTCTAGTTTTGACAATTTTTAATTTACTAAATGCTCGTTCACAGCTCACTTGTGAGAATGAAAGTGTTAATAGATATTTGTAAGCTAGAAACAGATTTGAAAAAGTAGTTACATTCAACGAATATTTGTATAAAATACTATAGCAACATTTTAAACATTTTTTAGAAGACCCTACATAACGCTCAAAGTTCTGAAAATCTCTATCACTCTCATTTTCAGTTGCTTTTGTTGAATCCTACTCTGAGACTGAATTCGATTCTTCTGAATCTTTGTCACTAGGAATCACTGAAAATTTATCTTGTAGTGTTTTTGAGAGCCTATCAAAGTTTATAGCAAAGGTATGCAATTCAGATCTAAATATTTCAGAACAAAGATTAGTTAGTTGAGAAATTTTTGCAAGACTGTTTTCTATAATACCATTTTCAACAATTTCTTTAAAACGTCTGGGATCTAAACACACAGTGTCTCTAATGATATTCCTGTTAACTGAGAAACGTTTATCTATGCTAATGGTAATCTGATTAATTACTCTACGGAAAACATCCATTCTGAAATGATCAAGAGGATTCTCTGGTATGTCATCAAAGGCGAGTTGCTTTGCCATACGTTTCTTTCGATAAACTCATTCTACAGGCAATTCTGTTTCAACTTCTGAATCAAGTTCACTAGCATCTAGGAGGGTGTTGATTTCTTTAACAAATGCAACCGTCTTGGAATGAACATATTCGAATGATATTGTCTGCAGTTCTTGTTTTGCTGACTCTACCATATTCCAAGCACTTAAATGATCCAGACATCTTGTTTGCTAATATTCCGATGCTTGTCACAAAACGGTGTACACACGTAGAAGAAAGGCTGCAAAAAGCACATTGAATCGACACCATTTGTCATGCAGTGCTGTGGCTTCAAATGTTGATTTTGCATCGAATCTTGAAGACATCCTAATACAATTATAATCCACTTGTGGAACATCATAAGTTCCAAAATTTCGTTCATGCGCCATCTGCTTCGACCACCAACGTGTTTCACCAATTTTTTGCAGTCTTTTCAGTTTTGCGGATTTAACTCCTTGTCCAATGTGAATATTCATCCAAACGTTCATTCGTTGTGGTTGGATTTCATTGTTGAAAATATTTCCTTCTCGGTGCAATTAAAAAGGACAACAATCGCATCATTCATATGGAAAGGAAGGAAAAAGAAGTAACAAAATCAAGGAGGAAAAAATTAAGGGGTATAAGAAAAGGATTTAGCAAGGATGACTCCTATCTGTTTGGAAATTTTTAAAGATATATATTGTTAAAGTTGTTTTATTTTGTTTTCTTGCATTTTCTCTGTTAAAAGATTTTTAAACTTTAAACAAGAATATCTTTCTGACATTTTAGTCCTTATACAATATAAAAACACAGTTTTTGTGCTAAATACAAGTATTATTTATTCATAGTGTTCTTTTGAAAACAAGACACTCATTTTGAACATGGTTATTCCATTATGTCATTGTGGTTTTTCCATTGTAAGCTCATCAACTCATTAACTACCTTAGCTTGTAACCTTTTAGAACACTAATTTTTTTAAAGGTAGATGGTAACACATTGTAATTTACAACTACAACATACTAAGTGTGTGATGGGATAATAAAGCCAACCCCCCCCCCTTTTTTTTAATAAAAAAAATTCAAACAAAATATTATATGAAAGTTTTTTTCAACTTTATTCAATAGCACTGGAACCTTATCTCTTCCCCAACCTCATCTATTTAACACAGATGATTCCATGATGTCTGTGCTCCATCACTTTATATCAAATTTGTATAAACCATACGAAAACCAATTGTGAACACGACATTAATAAAAATGTTTTGTTTTTAATTTCAAAGAAAAATAAAATAAATTAAAAAAAAAAGATAAAATAAGATCAAAAAATGTCTTATTTTGTCCATTCAGAAAATGTTTAGCTTTACAGGGTGACCAGAAAGTTCTGGCACTCATTTTTATTAGTTTGTTAGACTTAAGAGAATGTATTATTTGTCAATATTTTTGTTTCCATTTCATTCCTATGTCAATTCTTATTCGTATTCAGGCATTTTTTAAATTTAAATCTATTTTATTTTTAGTATGAAAGTCACAAAAGATCATCGAATTTCTATGGAACATTTGTTCTTTAGTGGATGCATTGGAGCAGAGATAGCAAAAAGACTTAAAATTCCTCGAAGAACTGTCTATAACAATTTGAAACGTTTAAAGGAGACAGGCAGTACCCAAGACAAGCCTAGAAGTGGAAGACCACCGACATCAAGTAGCAAAATTATTATCAAAAAAGTGCATGATAGATTTTGTCAAAATCCAAGAAGGTTGATGAGAAAAATGGCAAATGATTTGCAAATAGGTCGTGAATCCCTGAGAAAAATATGCAAGGATAAGCTAAAACTTATCCTATACAATATCCAAAAAGCTCATTTTCTCACAGACAATATGAAAAAAGTAAGAATGGAAAGATGCAAGCTTTTGCTCAAACATTTTTCTTTGAGGCGCCACTCAGGAATTGTTTTCACTGATGAATGTTTATTCAATGTTGAAGCTTTCTTAAACCATCAAAATGATTGGATATTGTCTAGAAGTATCAGTGATGCAAACATGAAGGGTAAAAATCCATTCTGGTTTTTGGAGGGATAACTTCGAATGGTAAAACTCTGTTAGTTTTTGTGGATTCTGGAGTTAAATTTAACAGTCAAAACTATTTAAATAATGTCTTTATAACAAAAGTACTTCCATGGTCCCAATCACACTTTGGTAAAAGCCCTGGACATTTCAACAGGATTCAGCTCCTGCCCGCAAGGCAAAAATTGTTCAGGGTGGTGCAAAAACAATTTTCCAGATTTTATCATCGCCCAAGAATGACCTCCCTACTCGCCAGATCTCAACCCGTTGAATTATTCTGTGTGGTCAGTTTTGAAGACCAAGTCATGTTCTATCTCTCATAGGAATTTAGACTCTTTTCGCCAAGCACTTCAGAAAAAATTAAATAATCTTTCTCCAGAATACCTGTGCGACGCAGTCAATGATTTCCCCGAGAGACTTAAGGCCTGTATCAAAGCTAATGGCGATTATTTCAAAATCTAATGTTGTAATGTGATGGTTAGTTGTTAGAATAAAGTTTATTTTTAATCTTATTTGCCTTTTTTAAATTTAGTCGTTTTTATGGGAATTTTACTATGTGCCAGAACTTTCTGGTAACCCTGTAGTAAGTCTTTAAAATTTTAAGAAAAAAAGGCAACAGAGCTATGTATGCTTGTTACAGTTTATTAGGCACTCCAATCATTTATCTAAACATACGGGATGTAACACACATAAAATTATATATTTCCATTTTTTCATATAATTAAACTTTAACTTTTAATATTTCATAACCTTTAATATTTCAATTTCTCTAAGTGAACATGTCTTAAATGAACAAACAACCAAGAAGTTTGGCTTTGAAACCCTGCAAATTTCAAATTTTTCTTGTATCATGTTTATATACAATATTGAATAATGGTTTTTTGTGAGATCGTTTAGTGTTTCTGCTGGAAACTTTTGATTTGCTATGGCCAATGTTTCTTTTAGAGGTGTAATGACTATACATAATGTGACAGAGTTCTAATCGGTAATGGAACAGTAATGCTGTCATGTTTTTCAGTTTTATAAACTAGATAATAAAATCAAATTAAAACTTTTCATTTTGTATTTTGGCTAGCACATTAATTGCAAATCAATTTGATATCCTTGAGACAATTGATAATGTAAAATCATGATGCAAAGAACATAAAACATCAGACCATCTGTTTCCAACAGTTTCATCATAGCAATAAAAATATAATTTTTGAATTGAAAGTATATTTGTTAAAACAGGTATTGCCTGGAATAGTATACATATTGGTTTAAAACGTTTAGGCATTTTTAAATTTTGAAATCTAAGCAAATTACTTCACAATTAAAAAGATCAGAATTCGAATATTATTGAGTCCATTTTCTATTTTTTTTAGGATACCAAAGGTACACTTTATGAATTAAAATTAAAGTTGAAATAATTCAAGAGAAAATTTTTGTCATTATAAAAAAACTTATTTTATATATATATATATATATATATATATATATATATATATATATATATATATATATATATATATATATATATATATATATATATATATATACATATATATATATATATATATATAAAATAATATATGTATATATATATATAAAATAATATATATATATATATATATATATATATATATATATATATATATATATATATATATATATATATATATATATATATACATATATATATATATAAATATAATATATATATATATATATATATATATATATATATATATATATATATATATATATATATATATAATGTTTTTTTTAATATGTCTTTCTGTGAACGTTACGTTGTTTACTTTATCTAAAAAGTTAGTCATGTAACTTACGCTTTTATTATCATCGGTTTAGTTACTTTTATTATCATTGGTTTAGTTTCTTGGACTGTGTTTTTTACGCGGTAAGCTTTGGACAACAGTGGTTGTTTCAAAGTTGCCCTTTTTTTTTTAAATGATCATAGAACCTTAAACATAGTTTTTTTGTTATGAATTTTTAAATTAAAATAACTTAATACTAAAATACCATAAAAATAAATAAAACTTGAAATTTTCAAAAAGTGGACATCTGTAGTTTTACCTGTGGGGTCTTCATATATATAAATATATGTTTTATATATAAATATACACACATATATATATACACAACAAGTACCCAGCTAGAGTAACAAAACTATCTTCTAAAAGCATTTATAATATTTTTTATTTACCCTAGATTTAGTATGCTCAGGTCGTGTTGGCAGTGCAGGTGGACCATCCCCCTTTCCTTGGTCCACTTTCACATTATTAACCTTAGGTCGATCCTCCAATGGACCATCTTCAGGAATTCTTGCTGATTTAGGACCAAACGTTGCTAAAAAAAAGATATATAGGTGTTTGCTAATTAAGATAAAACTTTTTTGGTAGGTTTAGTTTGAAATATTTAGAAATTTTAAAAAATTTAAAAATTTAATTTGTTTAAAAAACTTTTTGAAAAAAATAATTAAAACATTATTGTAACTGAGAAAAAAGTCCACAGCTTTTCCAGAGAGATTTTATTTTTGTTTCTTTAGGGTGGTTGTTACTAAATTTAGTATTTTAAAATATATACTTTTTTGGAATACATAGACTTGATACATTAACATTTATCTTTAACAACTAGACTCAAAAATCAGTTACTGGAACACATACAGCTGTAGGAGTCTCAGAGAAAAAAGGGGAAAAAACAAAATTAGAGTAAGAATTTAAAGGTTTTGGACAGATGTCCAGTATAAAGGCATGAAATTTAAACAAAGATTTATTTTAATAATTTTTACGCTCATTTCACCAATACCAGGATTTAAAAGAAGGATTTAAAAGAAAAACAATACAATATTGGATAGTGATGGGATTCAAACCATGGTCATTCCGTGTATGAAGTAAACACCTTATCCAAATAAGCTAAACTCGTGTATACTGACAAACGATCAAATTTAATTGATATAATTGATATAATTAATATAAATTTAATTTATATAAGTGACACAGAAAGTAAATCCTATGAGATAGATACGTATATATGCATACATGAACAAACCAATATATGAATGTATATAAATATACACGCATGCATTATGTAGGCGTATTCATATAGAGACAATATATATTTGTTCCATGCATTAAAACTATACAAATATATTTTACAAATAGAATTTATAATTTTTTTTTTGCTTTGCTATAAGCTATTTCATTGCTGAAAATAACAACCACGCTAAAGAAAGAAAAATTAAAACAGTGCACAAATTATTTAAATTATTAATTTAATTTTTTACTTTTTCTATTTAATTTTTTATTCTATTTAATATAGTTTCCTATTTTGTTAGTTTTGCTTTGTTTGTTTTTGAAACTTAATTTTTTTCCATTAAGTATTAAAATGCCTAATATAATAAAACTTGCAAATGACAGTAACCAAGTTGTCTAAATAAAAAACTTATGCATGGACAAACGAGATAAAAACTGAACACATTCCTAAGAAAGTTTGGTAGTACAGTAAACAAAAAAAATTTATTATAGCGGAAAAAATATAATCAATTCAATTAATTTTTTTCAATTTTATTTTATATCATAATTTAATTGTTTAGATTAAAAATATAATTAAAATAAATTTTAATCAAAAATTATAATTATAATAAACTAGAATTGCAAATAATTTAGCTTATATGTGCCTAAACATCATGTCTATTATAACCATATACTCATATCAAAATATCAGAGGTATTTAAACTTACAGAAATGAATTATTTATAGAAAGAAAAGAAAGTTTGACTTAAAAAAAATACTTTTCAAAAATCATTTTCCTTTCGCATCCTGATCGTACTACCAAGTAAAAGTACTGGCATTATCAGTGCGTTTCAATTAAAATATATTTCAAAAATCCAGTAATATCACTTATGATATTTTATTTTACTGAAGTTTAAGTTCTTGAAAAAAATGTATTTTTTTACATGTGGGAGTTATTATGACAGACAACAAATTTGACATCATAGCTATATTTACTATTAATACTAATATAGCTTTAATTCTCTGCGTATGAAATCATATTATATTGTTTTTTATTATTTGCTACTTATAGATTACAATTTTAATTTTATATTTACAAGTGTGACATTTTAATAATCAAACAAATATGGGTTTGAAATTATTAACCTAGCTTGTTTTAAAAAGTTTTTTAATTTTTAATTCTTTATCTAAATGCCTTTATTTACTTAATTGTATTTTCATAGAAATAAAGGCTTCAAAAAAGTATATAAGAAAATTAAAGTTGCTTTTAATAAGTCTCTGCATTGTTTAATATTTTGATAAGCATCAGCAAAGTTATCTTGGAGATTAAGAATTAAAAAGTAATCATCTGATTAAATAAAGAGCAAGTGATCATCTGATTAAATATAATTTACTAAATTTAACACATAAATTAAAATTAAAAAAATAACAAAAAAAAAAACATCAATACTAAACATTGCAATATAAAATTTTACTTTGTTGAAAAATAGTAAAACAATTGCTATAAACAGAATAAGTATTTGTTTAAAATGTTATTCTTTTAAAAGTTTCAAAAATTCAATAATTTACTAAATGATGATCAATAGGGCTGTACCGGATTTCGGCTTCGGCTCCTGCCGAAATCTGGCCATTTTTACAAATCCGGCCCAAATCCGGCTCCGGCAAAAATTTAGCAAATCCGGCATAATTTTAGCCGGAGTTTTGAATTTTGTCAAATATTTATTACATTTTTTTGCCCGTGTTTACATGTATACCTAATAATTTATTTATAAAAATCAATTTTTTTTGTAATTCTATATTTTATGAACCTCATATTTGTTTTGGTATTTGTATTTATATTTCTTTATAATTTAATAAGCTTAGTCTAATTTCAAACAACAGCGCAACAAAAAATTCTGAAGGGAAGACACAGGATATTCTACAATGATGCAGGTATAAAGACTATGATGTCAACCCTAATCAAGTGATTGGATGAGCGTTTTAAAAGCATTGAAAAAAGAAACCTCTTTATATACTGACAAGGCTGGTTGACTCACAATTTAAAACTAAATTCTCCTCATTACAGGCAACGCTGACAGCTGAAAAAATAAGATTGAAGTCAATCTGAGCATGCTGAACAGAAAATTGACAAAACTGAAGAAAATCCACTATAATAAGCCGGGCTTAATAATTTTTCTACATCATCATCATCATTACTCTGGCAATTTATTATTAAAATTATTCAGTCTACGTCCGCTGGTGGCAGGGCACATAAACAACAATTACTAAAAGGCATTAAAACTCAACTAAAGAAATATCCGAAAGAACCAGAAATAAATAGACACAATGATCCACTACAGTGGCGGAGTGACAAAATCCCGGAAAAAAAGTTCAACAGAATTACTATAAACTTTTAAAACATATGGCCTATAGAATTTCTTTAGAATTTCTATTAATTTATATATAGAAATTGCTATAAAACTTTTTAAATAACAACAATGAAGTTTAACAGAAAACAGCAGTCACTTGGTATTCTGAATAGTCCACATTGTTGACCATGCTCAACATCAAGTAGGGATGTACAGGATTTTGGCTCCTGTAGTTTTGTTTTGAAATCCGGCTCCGGCTCCTATTTCGGCCGGATCTGTCAGTAGAAATCCGGCAAATCCGGCTCCGGCCGGATTTGAAAAAATTAAATCCGGTACTAAAGTGCTTAATTTCAACTGGGAAATCTAAAATATAAAGGGTTTTGCTAGAGTCTATAACTAGACTTTGGTAAAAACTCGAATAAAAACAAAAATAGGTTAAAAAAAAAAATAATAATAATACACACTTACGACTAACAGATTTATTAAAGTTCATAAATTTGTCATCTACTTGATTTTTTGTGCTAGAGTCATAAAACTTTAAAACATCAATCACAGCTTGAGGATTCTGCTTTTGTTCTTGTTGTGTTATGTTTGAGACAGAAAGAAGTTTTGCCCATGAATCAGGCATGCCCTAAATAAATTACACTTACTATACTAGAAAATATTTTTTAATTTTTCATAAAATTTTTTATATTTGTTGCAATCTATAATGATATTTAATGATACTAAAATGACTTTAAAATAGGAAATTTTGTATAAAATTGCAACAAATATAAAAATCAATTTGGGAGGTCAAACATTATTTCAAGTGCTGATGTTAAAAATAGTATTTTAATAAAGTCTAGTAAAAAAGTCACTATATGTAATAAATATAAAATGTAATATATATATATATATAAAAAATTTGTATATGTGACTGAACTTTATCCTTTCAAAAATTGAAGCTGTTTGTTACTTAAAAATGACAAATGGCCTTGTTAAAATAAAAACTAAAAGATTTTATTTATAAGAAGTGCTACTAGACTAGAGTAATTAAAAACTAATTATGATTACACAATTATTTATATGCCTAGATATTAGTAAATACTTGATTAGAGTAATCAGAAATAGTTAAAATAAAAATATTTTAAAATTCTGTAATATGTTTTCTATATTTGTTATCCATTTTATCATTCTCTTTTAAATAGTGCATAATAATTTTTTACACATATTAAAATGCTAAATAATAATTATGTTAGCAGCTTGGCTATAAAAACGATTTATTAAATACATAAATTTAAAATCAACAAAATCAATTTAAAATTTTCTGGAGCCAATTAAATTTCTTGAGCCAAAATTTATGGAGCCAATTAAAAAAATGTAATTCATTTTCTTAATCTAAACTTTTGCAAAGTTTTTGCAGCTTTTAAATGTTTGTTGTAATTTTCAAACAATATTCAACTCTTAAAATAATATAATATTAAAAAATGACAGAAAGGTAAATTAAAATATTCAGTAAATAAATTCAATATTCAGAGTAAATGAATTCAGTTTATATTCACACCAAAAAATAGAGCTACACGTAAAAACTAAGATCAAAATGTTAACTCATCAAAACACTAGTTAAAAAATTATTTAAAAAATGTTTTAAATAGAAAAATAATTCTTGCTTACTGTGAAATCTCCAGTTACTGGATCAAACCCTACATGGATAGTATGTGAAAATTGTGTTGGCAATGATATTTCTGGCTTCTTTTTGATGGCTGTAATAAAACATTAAAATAAATATAAAACAACTATCTATATCAATTATAACAAAGAATAAAGATATAAGTAGAAATTAAACTTAATTCATTCAGAATGAAGCAAATATAATCACTGTTTTAAAATCATTTATAAACTTATTTAGATCTGACATACTACTTTTGATACTGTTGTTATGGAAACATCATTAAATATAACTTGAAATAAAACTTTATTTATATATAATTCAACAAGACTTTCCTTACAAGAAATTGTCAACAATTGACATCATTAAAGATAATTAACAAGTAAAGAAATTTATTAACTTTATTTTGGAGCTTATTTTATTATTTAACTAAAAAAATTACACTTACATTTTTTTTTTAATTTCTAATTATATTTTTTTAACTTAAAAAAATATTATATAAAAAGAATTTTTCAAAAAGTACATTTTATTTATTGTAGAAGACTTGCATAAAAAAATTGCAATTAAAGTATTTTTCAAAAAGTACATTTTATTCATTAACAGGCTTGCATCAGAGTTTAATGTTTAATTACTTTACAATATAAAATCTTATTACAGGACAAAAACTTTCTTCAAAAATCAACAACAATTATAATCGAAGACAACTATTTATTTCAACGTAATGTGAGGTTTCTTTAAATCCTAGTTGAAGAAAACATTTTCATTGAGTAATGCTGAATCTTGGTCATGTAAAAGGACCATGCCAAACTTATGTTTAGTGAGAAACTTAAAGTGCTTTGAAAATAATCAATGTACTTGGCTGATAACAATCTGGTTCGAATAATCTCTCAGATTTGGCAAAATGTCAATAACATTGGAGAAACTTAGATTCCAAATAGTGTTATATTGCACTATAAAACATAAACAAGTATGACAAAAATAACCAAATAGGTTTGATACAAGTTTGACAAATTCTTGCACATGAGTTAACCTGATATGTTGGTATACTTGCATTACATACAAACTTTATCAACAGACATTTTATAACTTTTCAGAAATATTCCTCCACAGGTTAAACCAGATGATGAAACCAGAGCAGTTAAAGTATATCTAATATACATATTAATCATATTGTAGATAAATGGGAAAATGCCTTCAAAAAAATTTAACTGGTCAGATTTCAAACTGAATGAAGTCATTACTTGCTTAAAGAGTTAAACAGTTCATGTTATTTTTAAAGTGAACTAACTAATACTTCATTAATAAAAAAATAATATGAAAGTGAGAATTAGCACACAAGTAAATAATCTAGAATGCATCAAAATTATATCACATGAACAGATCCCAGACATGTAATATTGATAATACATTGACCTGTGAATATTGCTCAACCAGAGAAAAATTTTGAAGACTAAATACCTGTACTCATTTAACATAACAAGCTGTGTGGAGCAATAATTCTATAAACTTAAAATTTATTTATATCTTTGCATAAATATTTTTGCATCAATTGCATTACATAATATAAATAAACATATTAATAACATTATATTGATATTGCAGGAGCTTTAGTATATACATAAGCTAAGAACTTGGTATAGGCAGGGGTAAAAAGAAGGACAATTTTATAATAGAAGAATCATTCTATAGACAGAAGGAAATATTTTTGACAACAAAACAATGGTTTTTTTTCCATTAGTTATTCTTTTGTTTTCTTTGTCAAAAAAGATTGTCACGATTGAAGTTGGCATTCCAGTGCGCAAAATATAAAATAGTAATGCCAATCAAAAAAGGCGTAGTGTAAATTTATATCTTTATTTAAATTAATATCATACACACACCTATAACTCATTATTGCATAATATAATATAACAAAAAAAAAAAATTTCATTAAAATAACGAAGTATATATAAAATTAAGTAAGAGTGTAAATAATGCAAAACATTAGTATGTAATTGTATGTAATACATACTTTGTGTGAAGATTTTGTTGAAACCTTTTTTTTTTCTTTCATCTTGTATTGGTGCTATGGGCAACGGTTTGCTACCAGCTTGAACAAATTCACTAGGATTTTTTTGAGAAGCATGCCTAACTGGAGGGGCTGGAGCCCTTTCGTCTTCTCCGTCCATATTTTATGCACAAAACTCTTTTCTGCTTAAAATTTTGAAGTTTTAGTGAACAAAAACAAATCGCTTAAATACCCATAGCTAATAATAATAATATTTATATTTCTAAATAATGCTTCAAAAGAAATGTGATAAACAAAGCAGTGAGCTCAGTATGCTGATCTGGTCAATTGAACACTCCCAATAAGAGGAATGGTTCGAGATGTAATTAACCGTTTTGGCGCGCCATTATGGCCGTTTATTTCTTTAGCAAGCATTTCACGCGTATGAATCGATAAGATCGGATTACATTAGATATACATTTATCGTTGTCAATTCTAAAATCTTAGAATGTTAATAAATTAAATAAATCAATAATAATTAAGCATAATTTAATAATAATAGTAATATTAAATAAATATTTGAAATTTTTATATAAGCATTTTTTTTAATCTCTAACGTGTTTAAGTTTTATTTATGTCAATATATATACTTCTGATAAGTCTTTATAGATAAAACACAGGGTAAAATGAAATATATATATATATATATATATATATATATATATATATATATATATATATATATATATATATATATTACAAAACTATTTTTAATACGCATAGATAGCTATTTTTTACAAAGTTCTGTTTACGTCAATCCTCCCCTCAGATGCCAATTAAAATGTGCCCCTCCCCTTTTTATTATTTTTGACGATTTTTAAAAAATTCATAGATTTAAAAACCGTTCACTTATTATATCTTTGATAAAGATTATTCATCTATTGATTACTCATGTATTGTAAAAAGATTCAAGCATAACATTGTCAGATGATATCGCAGCTACTTTGTTTTACATTAGAAACGATAATAACGAATATTTACATTTGAAACGAGAATAAAGCTATTTCAACAAGTTATTACTTTTTAAGATAAGAAATTTAATTATATGACAACAACACGTATTTGGTTTTATTATTTGTTCTAAAAACGACAACAACCTTAAATAATTTAATTTCTTTACAAAAATCACAAACTCAAAAAGTTGACGTTTTCATTAAATTATTTTTGTAATTATTGAAATATATTGTATTATAACAATTATGCTATTGCTATTGTACTGTGTTAATGTAAAGTAGTATATATATATATATATATATATATATATATATATATATATATATATATATATATATATATATATATATATATATATATATATATATATATATATATATATATATATATATATATATATATATATATATATCTTTATAATAAAAGATAAATATATTAAAAAAAATGTAATAAAAGTGGCATTTACTTGTCTTCACTATAAATAATAGCATGATTTAAAATACAAAAACATGCTTATGTTTAAGTCAAATATCAGAAACAAATATTTTTTGTTTGTTTTTGTTTTTTGTTTTCAACAATTTTACTTCAAACAAAGCTGCTAGTAACCACTAATTACGTTGAAAGCTAAAAAGCAAGAAAACATTTGACAGAAGAATTAAAAAAGCGTCAATTGTAAACGTAATTATGAGTTAGGAAAACATGAAAATGGCAGAGAATTACAAAGTACAGATGTTGAATGAAGAAAAAACTATGAATTAAACTATTTTGAAAAATGAGATGCAACTTTTGCAAGAGATACAAGGATACGGAGGAACGAGCTAAGCAGAAAAAGCTGGTTCATTTTCGGACTATGTCTAAAAAAGAGAGTGTCTCATTAAAAGAACCAGCTTAAATACGAAAACCGATAACAGTCTAAAGAGGGTTGGAACCAAGTTCAGTTTTAAGATTTTTTTGATTTGGTGGATGCAGACCATCTAGTTAGGGCAAGGGTGGCAATTTTTAGTTTTTTTAATACTGTGAATATCTTGTAAACGGGTGAGAGTAATTTTTTTGGTTCTAATTTATAAATCATACTATGTAATGATATACTAACAGCCAAATTTAAAAATTGAACCACAAAACTTTATTAAAAAATTCATACAACTTTTAAATATCTTTCCTTCTTTAGTTTCCGCTTTCAAAAAAAACTAATACATGATTAAATTTTAAATTTACAAAAAAAACTTCTTTTCAAAAAATCTTAGAAAAGGGGAGGGAGGTAATTGCACCTATCGTCCCATTATGGGGCCGCCTTTGGGACAACAATATTTTACACAATGACAAATAAGAGATTTATAGTTGTAGAGAAGCACAATAAATAAAGCCAATTTCAGTAGATGTTAACTCTCTAATAGATTATGTATTCGGTTGATCAGTTTGTAAATGACAATCCGAAAAAACGTAAAGTAAATGATTCAGTAAGAGTAAGTTTTTGTACATCAATATAAGAATACTAATGATATTGCAATAAATATGAGCATTAAATAATTCTAATTCTGTAAACTAATAAAAACTAATTTTGTTTGGATGGAAATTCACCAGCCATTGCAAGCCCCAGGCTGTCACAGAAGAAAAATCAGATTCAATGATCTGACTACTTATTCTAAGCCTTATGCTACAATTTCAAATTGTAAAGCTTTTTTCTTTAGAAACATCTTTAATAAAACTTAAAAAAAGGTATGTTATAAAAATAAGTTAAACTTGCGGAATACTTCATCACGAAAGTTATTTTTGGGTTGTCATGGTGAAAGTATCTTGTCATAATAAAAGACATTTTTGTGTTGTTTTTGAAGAACTTTATTTTTATAAACACAATTTGAATAGAAAAAAGGAACCTAAATGTAAGTTTTCATTCAGCATTTGTTTGAAAGTACATTTATAAGACGTCTAAAACAAATTTGCCACATGTCAAATTGCCAAATATATTCCTTAAGAAACAGACTATAGTTTAAAAAAGCCTTCTTTGGGGGTGTCTCGTTTCACACACGTACCTCCTAATATCATCCCTGGATATGTGTACACAGTATAAACGTTTTATTGCTTGTTTTTCCAGGTTATTGTTTGTCCATGCATTGCTTTTCTGCACAGTTTGAGTATTACTATTTTACCCAAACTGGAGCTGTCAACAAATTGTGATATACTCACCCAACAAAGGTGCACTAATGTCATACTGATCTTATTTCTATTTTCTAATTATGTCATACTGATCTTATTTCTAATTTCTGAAGAATAACCATTATTTTCTGAAACTGTATGATTTAAATTGAGAAAATAACAGGAGCATTTCTAGGAATAAAATAAGGGAAACGAATCTTTAAAAAGAGCCAATTTTCTTAAAAAAAAAACAAAAAAAATTCTTTAAAATTTCTTAAAATTAAAAATTGTCCGACTGAAACGGGTTAAATGTTCAATGAACTGACTATTTTCCTCAAAAAACCTTAAAATCGCCCTTGGGAAAGAATCCATTCAGGAAAATCTTTAAATTGTAAAAGTTAATTTTTTATCCAGAGAGGTCTCTAAACTAGAGACAATTGATATTACCAGACTAAAGTAACAAGAAATTTATATTTTTCGTCACGAATTCGCATTAAACACCCGGCTTTATTTTATTTTATTTATTTTTTTACTTTTTTTTTAGTTTTATCACAGTAATTAATGTTAATTAATTTGTCAACTTAATTTTTAGATCACTAAAAAAAGTCGATAAACTTTTTATTTAAACTTAAATATGATGTTGTTTTGTAATCTTTGAGTGTAATTAAAACTTTCTATTTAAACTTAAATATGATGCTTTTTTGTAATCTTTTAGTGTAACTAAAACTAGTTTGCTTAAATGAGATTTAGAATAATATAGGAATATAAAAGGAATAGAAATAGGAATATAAAAACTGAAAAATCTTAGAAATAAAAATTTTTCAGACTTGTTTACATAGTAAGTTGAATACTATTTTGTCGTTTTAAAGGGTTTTTTTTTGATTATATTTCTTAGGGTCCAATAAAGTCAAATTTATAGCACTAAAAACCATGTAAAAAAATACTTTCACATATGATATTTTGCTGTCTATTTTGCATGTAAAACCAAAAAGTAGTCGAAGTTCGAAAAGAAAATTAAAACAAAAGTTAAAGAATTAAAAATATCAAACAAAAGTTTTATACTTTTACTATTTAAAAACTTTGACATATAAAATTCGCTGAATGGTCACACACGAGCAGTGTGAGACCATATCTAAATCGAAACCATATCTAAATATAAACGAGACCATATCTAAATTGAGATTTCCAAGCCATTATTTTATACTTTCATTACATTTATAATAAAATATTATACGAGTTTCAGATTTTCGCCCCATTAAAAATAAATATTGTGACTAAGTTGGTCGGTGAATCCAAATTTTTAGAACTTATTTCAACAGAATAGTATATATTTTTAAAAATATTTCTTTTATAAACTTTGTTTTTAAAAAGTATAATCCGATTTAATTTTAGTTTCTAAAATGTTTGGATGTTAAAAACTTTAACTTTAAGTCATAAAGCGTCATCATGATGGAATTTTCAAAGATACTTTTCTTGCTCGATCTTTTCTTGCTCGATCAATTGATAAACTGTTAGCTTTTTTTGAACTTTTCATTATCACTTCTGGAATAATCTATCATCAAATGATAACTTAATGTTTTTTTCTGATTTAATTTTCATTATTTCAGTTGGAGCACAAACGTTTTTTTTGTTGATAAAAGTCCAATAAAAATCTTTAGGTTTTTCAAATACTTTGCCCAAACAAAAAGAGATGCAGTTGCAGATATTAAACAATAGATTTTGACAGGACGTCCATCCACAATAAAAATAAATAAAATTTTAATTGATAAAAAATTCTACTTCAAAAGTTCAACTTCTTCTCAATATAAATTAAAAATATAAAGTATAATTAGTTCAAAAAGAAATATTCTTTTTTGGCACTTAGTACATTTGATTTAAACAAAAAACAAACCATTTAAACGCTTTATTTTCTATCAACATAAACGAAGACAGCAAGCAATAATGAAAATTAAAAGACTTCTACCGTTATTGTTTTTTTTATTTTTTTCTTAACGTTGTTTGCTTTTTGTTATTTTCTTATCGTTATTTTTCTATGACATGCTACTTATCGTTATTCTTGCTTTCGACGTAAATATTTCGCGATGATGTTCAAGATGGTAATCTAGAATATTTTTTGATTTTTTACTTGAGCACGTTTTAGATTTGTTACTATTACATTGATTATATCCATATTAATGTTTCTTCCTAAATTTAGTAATATTCTCATGTAATATTTGTTGTTTCTTCGATCGAATGTGTA